ATCCAGCCCTTAAGAGACTACAGCTATTCACTTACCCTTTTGGTCATTCCAGGCCAGAAGATTATGCAGTCTCAATCATTGTACACTCTTGGCTTAGGACAAAATGTCAGTGTTTATCATCTCCTCAAAATGATTACTCTACTGATCAGCATTAGTTTATTCTCTCCTGCATTTCAAAACAAAACAAAACAATGTACTAATCACCCATTGGCACTAAATAATCGTGAGAGACAGCAATGTCTGGGGATAAATGAAACTAAACAGAGCTGTGCATTATCAATATCGTTTTGGCAATACAGTTCACTTTGACACATTGTATGAATTCCCCATTGGGATCACAGAATATGCTGAGTTGGAAGGGACCCACAAGCGTCTTCATTACTCTCCTCTGGATGCTCTCTAAAAGCTTAATATCCTTCTTATATTGCAGTGACCAAAACTGCACACAGACCTCAAGGTGAAGCTGCACCAGTGCAGAGCAGAGCAGGACAATCCCCTCCCTCAGCCGGCTGGCAATACTTTGCCTGTTGGCCCCCAGGACATGGTTGGCCCTCCTGGTTGCCAGGGCACCGCTGACTCATGTTGAACTTGCCATCAACCAGGATCCCAAAGTCCCTTTCCATGGCACTGCTTTCAGCATCTCATTTCCCCAGTCTGTCCATACAATCAGGGTTGCCCTTGTCCCAGGTGTAGAATCCGATACTTTCCCTTGCTGAACTTCATACAGCTGGTGACTGCCTAGTTCTCTCATTTGTCGAGGTCTCTCTGCAGGGCCTCCCAGTTTTGTCCCGCATCCAAGTCATTTATGAAGATGCTGAAGAGCACAGGGCCTGAGATGGAGCCCTGTGGAATCCCACTAGTGACAGGTCACCAGCCTGATGTTCCCCCATTCACTATTACCCTCTGTGCTTGACCTGTGAGCCAACTGCTCACCCACCACATGATGGTGGTTTATCCAGCTGTGCTGGACATTTTATCCAGAAGGATGCAGTGAGAGACTGTATTGAAAGCTTTACTGAAATCCAAAAAGATTACATCAACTGGTTTCCCTTGATCAGCTAGGTGGGTTATCTTGTCATAAAAGGAAATCAGGTTTGATAAGCGGGACTTTTCTCTTATGAAGCTATGCTGGCTGTGACTGATGACAGCATTGTCTTTCAGGTATTTTTCAACACCTCTCAGGATAATCTTCTCCATAACTTTACCAGGCACTGAAGTGGGACTGACAGGCCTGCAGTTACGTGCTAGACATTAAACAGGGAGCAGTGACACAGTGACACATTTTCACTTCTGCTGACCATCTGCTGACATAAATTACTATACAAATAACAGGAAAGGAATAAGTGCCTTTTTTGATAACACTTAAAATCAGCATTTAAGAATGCACGTTAGACTTCTATAGACTGTAAACTAATGGTTTCTTGCACTGTCTCTGCTCATCATTCTCTGTCATCAGAGAATGCACACAAGAGGCGAGTCAAGCAGCCACCTTCTCACTGGGAAAGTAATCATCACCTGTCCCCTCTACCTGTCTGCCTGTTTTCATGAAAACTGGATAAAACCTTACAGCTTCAAGATTCCTGCCTTTAAGTCAAATGCATCAAGGAGATACACACAGCAAAATTAAAGAAAGTGCCTTAGGTCAATAGACAGAAATCAAGGAAATTTGGCTTCTATCAACTAAAGTAACTTGGGAGTCATGAGTTGGAACATGCACTTCACTTGTTTTACATTAAAAACTTACTTTACTGACAGAACAAAGAAAATGAAATAGCAGCTTAGGTTTTAATAGCTAACCATTAAATAGCCACAATATACACACATGAATATTCCTTAAAGCACCCTTTTGCAGTGGAATTGAGTTCCCAGAAGTATCTGCATCAAACATTCCAAGAAAATTAAAAATAAACAAACAAAACACCCGCAGAAAACACCAAAACCCCCACCAACTAAAAAACTATGTTGTGTGAATGAAGTGGGTCCAATCCAGTACCTCTATACACATCAAGACATGATAGCGTACACACAGAATATAAGCTCTAACTTGCCTGGCTTTATTTATATTAAAGTGCTCCTGTTTATTTGTTAGTTATTTTGTATATGCATAAACAACACACAGATAAGGTTTTTAAGACTGAAACATGATAAATTCTTTGATTTTTTGTTTACAAGTTAGGAAAAAATCATGCTCTTCAGTCCTTCTTAGCAGTACACTTAAGCCCTCTTCAGCAGTTAAAGACAGAAGAGCCACATGGATTACTATTCTTGGGGAGGAAAAAAAACCAAACAAGGACAGTCAAAGAAATGACCCCAGCCCACCCTCTGCAGTAGGGTTGAGGAGGAGAGAGGCTGCCCTCCAGTGTTCAGTCACCAGAGAACAGTATGTGCATGGGACAGGTTTTCTGAAGCTCTAGTAAAGGTCTGGGACAGGCTTGCAAGACCTGAATGGTGAATGGTCTTGGCTGCAGGAACATGTTTATGGCAGTGGGAAATTTGTATGTGAAAGGTACATTAACAACAAACACACAGATTTAATTTGGCTTCTTCCCCCTCCCATCTGCTAACTTTGTTGGGCTGGTTTGGATTTAACATGTATCAAAGACACTATGATTTATTGAGATCTAAATTATGCACATTGACTTTCAGGAGGCTGCTAAAAATGTCATTTTTCATAAATGAGGAAGAAATCATTAATAGACATAGTCAAGTAATTTCTGTAAACTGTCAGAGCTCTGCTGACTTACTGCCAAAATAATTAGTGTTGGTGGTAGTAGGTATGACATGTTTTAGTCATTACTGAGACTATGAGTTACCATATTATTGTATATTATTATGAATGAATTATGTCCATGCATTGAAAACAGATTCAGATTGCTTAAATAACAAAAATCCCAAGTCACCAAGTTTCTTTAACTTAAGGGGACAGGTTACTACTAAACTATCAAATGGAAACTCCATTTTTCTGCAGCCCAAAAGCTTTCATAATATTTCCCCTTCATGCATTTGGGCCTAAATACAGTAAGCACTTATTTATCAGGAAACAAATTAAACAACTAATTTCCTCCCCTCCTTCCTTCCTCCCATATCCTAAATGGATGTGCTGGATCACAAGTCCACTTCAGTCAGTGAAGTGGATCTCCACTCTGCATCTCCAAACGTAAAAACAAAGCTCACATGTTATTTTGGTTTTGCCTAGTTTTAGGAGTTTATCACATAGACTGATGTGTCACATGGTTTTAGTTCAAGAATTTCATCAATTAAATGTCTATGACTTTGAACTTGCAAACAAAACCATTAGTTTTAAGGCACCATGATTAAATTTTTACCAGACTTAAACTGAAGGTAAATAACTAACTGTTATATTAGCACAAATAAAATCAGGTATGGTTCCAAAGTATTCACACAGCTTGATGGGGACAAGGTAACAGAGCAGTATCAGGTGCTAAACTTCTATATTAATAGAGCACCAGTCAGCTCTAAGCCACAAGTCTACTATGATTTTAGACATAGTTCTATGATTCTTATAGACATAAAAGTATTAGCTATGCATATCCATGTATTATACTCATCTGTAAAATTAACTACTCACACTCCAGTAGCTCACAGCTTAATATACTCAAACTTCCTTTTTTTTTTTTAAACCAGACTGATATTCCTCACAGAAAAATCCTTAACAACCTGTCAAACATTTTAATAAGAAAATTAGTATTCTGGTTTTTTTACTTTCATTCTTTATAAAGCAAGGTCTTCTGGAGTCACAGAAGATTTTAAAAATTTTCATAAGACATCATCATAAAATCATTGGGAGATACATCAGGAGTAAGATTAGCAGTTATAAATTTCCAAATCAAATAGAGCATCTTGTTACTATAAACTGTCTCATTTGATTTCCCGTAAAACACAACAGTGAAAAGCGAGTGCAGTTTGTTCAGGGCTAGTATACTTCTAAGAGGTGAGAAGAAATGTCTGACTTTGCTTCTTTCAATGCCATACATGCCTTTACCTTTAAATCAGCAGTGTTCAGGAACTCACAACAGCAGAACACATCTTTCAGGATCACACTCTGTACCAGAAGCAGTCACTATAAGAAGAAGAAAAAAGCCTGGCAACCCCCTAGGGCTCCTCAGATCGCAGGGCACTGCTGCTTCATCCACCTGGACCACAGTCAACTGGGGAACAGGAACACGCTGTATTAAAGCCACCCTTCTCTCCTGCATCTCCCCACTGCTCTTCAGCCCTGTCCTCCACCACACAAAGAAGCACTGTCTCTCTCATGATACAGCACAGGACAAGATTCCTCCCTCTCATCCCAAGAAATACAGGAATAAACTGGAACCAGAACCACTTGCCTTTGCAAAAATGTATTTCCCAACTACTTTGAAACACAGGCTGGTCAAAAGCAGGTTCCATCAGCAGGGAGAAGGACACACCTACATGAAAGTCTAATTCAATAGGTCTGAAGACAAGATACATGTAAGTTTTTGAAAGAACTGACTATTCAACACATTTGAATGGTGGTGATCAGGTTATACAGCAGGACAGGACTACGGCATATATTCATTCCTACCATAGTAAATTATATAAAACTTGTCACTGACCAGTAGGCAAATCTGACCTAACTAAAGACTAATATAACAGCATCCAAAATATCAATATTGTCTTTTTCATTACAGTCACACCTGACAGTCAACAACATATCTTTTCAGAAAGCAGATGACAACAAAGGAAATAGTCTGAAATAGGAAAAAAATAATCAAAGGGCTAATTTTTTTTTCAAAATTTACTGAAGTTAACAAAAGAAAGACCCCTGTTGACCGAAAAGGAAAACTGCACTAGGAAGAACAGACCTTGTAGAAAAGTTGAGGCAGCAAAATATCAAGAGGCCCATATTGCCTCCCCCAAAAGAGTAAGGTAGAAACAGTTCTCATAGCACAGATATAAGTAGGAAACCTCATCTTTGGTCCACTACAAACACGGATACTGATGTCAAGATTACCTACCAGTCGGGTACTGTGTGCCAATCAGTGAATATTCCACCTGTACACTGAGCACCACATTCAATGAGATGACCTGCAAGACTGGGATAATGGCATTCAAATAACTAAATATTCTGTAAAATCAAGTTTCACAAATCCAGCTTTAAAATATAATGGTACAAAGGAAATAAAGGTAAATAACAGAACATGCTACTTTTCCGTCCATAAGCATCTAATGCAATCATAAATTACACATTAAACATAATACGGGATTTTGAAAGATGAATATAAGTAGTTGAAAGGACTAACCTTTACATGAAGAATTTTCCTGCAAAAAATAACCTAAAAGATTATCTAACACCTAAAAACAAGTTTCCCTGGTCATTTCAAGAAGTCTTGATCTATATTCAGTATCTTAAGTAGTCTGTGTGTAACTAAATATGCAAAGCTCATTTTTAAATCAAGAGATAAAAGATCTCACTTCTAATGTGAAGCAGAGAATGTATGATTATGTATTACTATTTTCAAATTTTGATTGCGACATAAATACTCAACAGAATTATGGAGAAAAGCTTCATCTCTCTGCGGAGCCAGAGTTTCTCTCCACATTTATTATTCTCAAGGAGGTTCTAGCACACTGGTATTCTCAGGCCATCTAGGTAGTTATTTTTTTACGGACTTCAACTCAGATAGATGACGAAGAATGTTAAATTAGATGACAGAATTTTATCCTGTGCTTTCTGCATCAGATTCCTTACCCTAGGACTACAACTAGGGTTTGTAAGTAGGAGTACCGACATTGAGCTTCTGCAAAACCATAGAGGGACCTGCCACCATCCCAACTATCAGCAGTGATTGCCCACCAGAAAAAGCTGGGAATCACTGGTCTGTACTGTAAGATTTCATCTCTTGACACCAAATGAACAGGAAGTTAAGCCGTTAAATAAAATCATTCAATCCTTTCCTCCTTTTGTTATTTTAAGCTGGTTCCAGAATGACGCTTCTATAATTTCAATTCCAAGCAAGAATACTGAGTCTTAAAAAAGAACCCAAAACCTAACAAAAACATTAAATTAATTCAATGATAATACAAAACATCACTAAGTGCTGAAAAAGTTGGTATCTTGACATTGTGATATGAAATACAAATTTATCCAATTTCTTTTTATATCATTTACCTTCCTGCAGCTAGCAAGTCGTATTCATCCCTATTCCAGCCAAACTAGAAGAAAAATACAAGTATTTTAAATATATGAAAGTTTCATAGAGTACAGAAAACTGCACATAGCCCATTCGCTGCTTTCAGTAACAATGTATGGGATATATTTTTACTTAACTGTAGAAATCTAAATTGGCAGGTGTTGTACATGGATTTGAGTTCCTATACAGCATATTATCAAAAACGTCTCTTTTATTTCCTCTTACTGATACACACAAGAAAATACAAACTCTTAAAAGTCATACCCTCTTAAAAAAAATTGGAAGTGCAACATTCATATTATTCAAAACCTGCACAACTCAGAGGTTTAAAGATCTAGTACTTGTGTCACAGAAACAAACCCCTATGTTCTTTTCAATTTTTGAAAATTGTCAGTTCCTGGAGTACTACTAGTCATCCTTAAAAACTAGAAGTATGCTTTCTGTTTAACTAGAAATTTTAACTAGAATGTTTTCCTGAAGTTCAACCCAGTGCAAGCAATAGAGTAAGTTTCTTATTTAGCCCTTTGCAGAAATCTCCCTAAAATCTTTCAATAAATTAGATGAGGTCTCTCTGGAGTAGATAATACACACTGACAATTGTTATTTTCAGAATGTAAACAGCTAGGAATAAAGTAACAAGTTATAATGGCAATAATAAATAGGAGAATTTAGATTAGGCAAGGTTTGACATGTATGAAGAGTATGATGTTTTAGAAAGCATATTTGTAACTAGACACTAACACATAGCCTCATATTTTTTTTTAAATATGCACCAAAAGAGAGTTTCCATATTTCAATGTCTGATCATTCACAAAAATTCATGAAAATCTATTCAAAATACTTCAAAAAACTACACACCTCGCTGGTATAATTTGTTGAATTTCAAGGAGCTCGAGACATGCTGCATTGAACTTGACTACTCAAAACAAAACCAGTGTTTTAGAACTCTCATGTGCTCCCCCCTCCAACCCAAAATGAACTCTACTATCGACACCTTGGGGGGTAAAAAAAAATATACTCGTTTCTTAATCTTGAACACGAAATGTTAAAGAAGCAGGAGGGGGAAAGAGTGAAATACTGTTGAAACAGAGTAAGACTTCCTTAACTGAAATGTTTTCCAGCCTTACAGTATACAAGTTAAAATATCCCTGCTATATTTTTAGGAGAAGTGAAAGCTAGCATCTTGTCATGCACCTAAGAAAAAAATACAGACACTCATTACTTTTAATTTAGTATCTACATTTTCACAAGGAACAAAAATTGACTAACAACGACTGCTGAATATTGATTCACCTATATTAATTATCATATGGAAATTAACTTGTACTTACAGAATGAATGAGTGGTCCTAATACAATCCCACTGTCAACACATCTACCCGTCACAACAATATCAGCTCCAAGGTCTAGAGCCCTGCTGATTGGTCTTGCACTAAAGATGATAAAACACAACAGTAAGAACTTCGACATTTTAAAGCATTTCCTGCCACACGCAGATTAAAAATCACTTAAAAATCCCCTAGGAAGTCAATAAAATCAACTTTAACAACTAATTTGTCACTGTGTATATACGACAAGACTATTTTAAAGAGCAGTCATGAGAACACTATCGAATTCAGGTACCCAAATAACATAACTGAAACACTTGTCTTGATGCTTATAAAAACTGTCTTAAAGTGCACAGAGGGACACTTCTGTTATCAATTACAGAAAATAGTGTTTTTCAGAGATTCATTACTCATTTCATTTGTAGATGAGTGTAAAAAGATGAACATTCTTTACAGAGAAAGCTTGGTGACTTTGCCCTCCAATTTTAAACCTTTCAGATCAATTTAGCTAAGTGCTTCCAGAACTTGCAGTATCGATCGACTTCAAGAGCACTGTGCTGTCATTATTTTTGAAGAAATTCTGGCAACAGATTTTAGAGACTGATCAGGTAAGAGTCGTCCCACTCAAAATTAGTCAGGCCTAAAAATATTCACCCAGGTGAACTACTCAAGTTTATACACCTCAGTGAGCAAGCCTTGACCAGACTGCACAGGTCCTGGTTTCTGAATCCGTGCTATCTACTGGATCCTTCTATCCTTCGTGAAATAGGCAGCTTAAAAAAATAAAACAATCCACGTGTGCCTTGAAGAACAAAGCCAAGAGATTTTTTTTTTCTACAGTTTCTATAGATTTAGCCCCGATTTTGTCAAGGGATAGAGGTAAGTTAGAAGACACCAAAGTTCTCTAAGTGATGTAAACATAAAATGTACTTCCCCCCCCTCCAGTGCTACATAAACCAAAGGATACTAGCTAGAACCACAAGCAAATATAAAGCATACAGAAACAATTCACATCTTTGGGCACAGTGTTAACTAACAGGTAAAAAGGAAAAATGGGGTTTCTGCACACATACAGGACACTGATAGACAAACTGCATAACTGCGTTTAAAAAGCAGTAAAAGCCATTTGGCTTATACTGTCAAAAATATAATAGTTCACAGAATTCCTAATAGCCCAAAGGAAAAGGGACAGAAGAAACACTTCAGAACCAATAAGCAAATGAAAATTTTTCTGATGGAGTTTACACACTTGAAACAAGAATCAAAGTGTAAACATCAAATTTAGAGAATTAACAGTGCACCATCTACAGAAATTACAGATTTCACCCAATGCACTCTCCTGTTGACTTGTTTTAAAGGCATATATAAACTTATTATTTGCTTTATGAATAAACATCCACTGCTGATGGTGTCAAAGGAAAATGTAATTTAGGAAACCACTAATTTAGGAGGCTGGTAATAGCTTTACGTTGCAACAGAACTGAGATTAAGTCCTCCGTAAAGAAACACCACTTTTATTAGAAAACCAAAGCGAGAGCCTGCTGTTCTGTTAAGGAAGCAGAGACAGAGGTAACAGCTTTTTTAAATCCAGCAACAACAGAAAACATAAAAGATTAATTTAAAAAGACTAATTGTTAAAAGGTTCTTATTTTACAGAGGAAAAACACGTTAGGCACAGCCATACACTGCTATCTGTCAATGACGCATTCTAGAAAGTGCAATGATAACGACAAAAGAGACAGCACACCAGTTTTTACATTAAGATTAATACCAAAGGGGGGACTGCGCACAGTTTAGAAAAACACCAAGCATAAATACAGAAGGGATGATATTTATGACTAACATGGAAGACAGAAAAGCAAAAACAGAACCATAGAGATCATCATCTGTAAGAGATGCACTTGACCATTGTCCCTCTTCTCAGTCTTTTCCCTTTGATAGATCTGATTGATTCATCTGAAGTTGATGGTGACAATAAAAGTGCAACTGTTAACAAACAGGTAGCCAGAACACTTGCTTTTAGAGATATACTGAAAGCCTTTAATATCATGATGGAGGCAAGGGAGATCTTTCAAAACAGTGATTCCTGAAAAGCCAGTTTCCAAAACTTCAACAGCGTAAAGCCTGACACGCACTAATGGAACCTCCTACAGCACTCCGAGTACGTCCCAGTACTTGAAATCCTCAGTTGCACTTCTCTAGTGCTAATATCATAAAATACTCCATGCTGCAACAGAATACACAGCACATGAAAAAGCATTTTTGTGATCGTTGTAATTCAACTAAAACTGTTTTGGCTTGAACTAAAACCCGAGCATTCACAGATGATGTAGTGCTAAAGAGTTGTAAATTCAAGGTTGTAAATTAAAATTTATTTACAAGTTACAATTTTTTTTTCTGGTTGCTTGAATAATTCAAAGGTGAACCTCATACACTAGTTAGTTCTAACTGCAAAGTAAAACAAATTCATGTACTCAATTAGTTAAAACTGTTTGTCCATAATAAATAAAACCTGATAAAATAACTCACCCAAGATATACATTCATGCTGTGAATATTCTCTGGAAATGGTTTGCCACTCTCTAAATCAGTGATACCAGCTCCTTTTAAGTTCTCTTTCTGTTAGAAAAAAAAACAGAACACCAATCTATGAGTATTTTGAAGTTTCTACTGTAAGCCTTTTATTAGTATCAAACAACAGATCCACTCCACAGCAACTCCAAGCAAAGTATAATTATTCAAATTACCAACAATACAAATCAGTTGAATGGTTAAAAGCCTTAGACACACTTTTAACCATAACTTTTCCAGCATGCAGAAAACTAAGTCAGTCTTCGAAGTATGCTAGTTCATTCACAGATGATCAACTACAATGAACTGGCATATTCTCTAGTCTTTTAAACTGTCTTTAATTGCTGTAGGATTTAATAAATCAACTCCTGCAAGCAGAAATGTGTCTGCCACACCTGAAATGTGTCATGGCCAGAGAACAAGGCTGATCCTGCAGCTTCTCGTGATACTTCAAAGAGGTTGTGTTTTCAGAAGAGTAGGGGGGGGGGTGTTTTTGACCATGCATTATGAGGCAGCTTGGCAGTCCAGTGGATGGAGGCAACAATGACTGCATAAACACAACGTATAATACTAGTTTACAGGTGGGATCTGCAATGTCAAAAAAAAAAAACAACCTTCCACTCTGAATTAATTTGGTGTTCTATGTTAATGACTTAAACCCTCCAAACCACAAATAATATATCCTAGTATAGTTTAGCATATTTGGTATCAACAGTAAAAGTTGCCTGTAGTCAGTAAAAGTTGTCTCTTTTTTGTTCCTGTAAGCTATGTGCTGACAACAGCATAGAAAATAATGCATTTCAGATCAGACATGTTCATAACAAGCTCAAATAATGACCACTTCACTGTTGTACCAGTAACGAAATTCTGGAGAGCAGACAGTAATTTTAGTAGGGCAGAAGTTTCTTAAAGAAAGTCCAAGCACCGCACATAATTTGCAAATAAGGAATCTTACTTGACCATCTTCCACATTCAATAGCATGCAAGGAGTAACAGATCCTAAGCAGATAAATAATTTTCCAAGTCACAGGCAGAGATTTAACCATAGTGCAAACCTCTCCCCTCTTAACCACTATCAAGATATAAACCGTCTTCCCAGTACCTTTTCAGGTAAGACCAACATTTTTTTGGAGACTTCATAAATAAAGTGTAACTCTTTAAGTCAAAAAATCCCTTATGTTTCATCTTTCAATTTTATTTTTTTTTAAATATTTAAACTTCAATCTTCCCACTTAATATTACCCTAATGGCTGTAAACTAGTTACTTAAAAACAGAAAACCAGCTACCTGTAACCAAAGGAACATCAGGAAATCCATGTAAATTACTAAAAAGAAGCTAGAAGGGATATATTTGAATGCATGGTAACAACACCATATTTAGAAGATTTAACATGCAGGATTAGTTAGTTTAGACAGAAGCAATACGTAACAGCACATACTAGCTTCTCCTGAAGATCAGGCAGACCTTATATCATATTCACAGTTTGCTTCAAAAATCTAAATAGCAGATCCACAAGCAGACCCATCCCCATCCCATACCAAACATAAGATGCGCCAAGAATTGTTTTCATGCATTAAGAAAATTAAGGAACAACTTCCAGATACTTTTAATAGTAGACTACTGCAATAAAGATACACAAAATAAGTTCCCATGCTATACAGACTAATGCTACTAAGGCTTAAGACAAAGCAGAATACCTCACTCATTAGATCATCTCCAGCAACAACAGCTATTTTCAAATCAACATCTGCTTTCTTTGCCACATCCTGAAGGGCAGCTGCACAAGCAAGTGGATTAATTCCACCAGCATTACTGATGACACGAACACCTTATATTAAAAAAAAAAAAAAGAAGGTAAATTCCAAAGGCAGCACAATCACCTATATTTTAAAAACCTTAAGTGTGCTGAAACACAAGCAAGGTATCATCTTGTAAGGTGGCAGATATCTAATCAAGTAAAATACTAAAATCACATTAAAATATGAACCCCATTTAACCTGTCAAAGGATCACTAAAAGCCAGTACAAAATTGTTTACAGAAAAATAATTATTATAGATATTTCTCATCTTTCCTTTATGCATGGAAGGAGAAAAATGACCAAGAAGACACATACTGAAGTAGAAAGACAGTATAAAAAAATCTCCTATAGGAACAGTATTGGACACCAGTCATTCAAACATCCATGCTCCGCAAACAACTGCATTTTAGTAGAAATGTGCATCTAACTAAAAATTCTGTACTGTTTGCAAGGCATTAGGTTCTCAGAAGTAAATCCCTTTCTTCTCTCAAACTCAGAAAACTGTGAAGCTGTACTAATGTAAACAAGCAAAAAAGTGATCAGAAAGAGGTACTGTAAAATTACACTGAAAACGTCTAGATCTCATGCTTTAACAAAGATCTGTAAAGCAATCTTCAATTTACAAACTAAAGCCACAGTAAGAAACTCGTGGAAATATATGTATATATTTATAACGATAGCAAACATTTTAAATTAGCCCAATTTAAACTTCACCATCAGACCTGTAACTCAAATCTATTACCATGTGATTTTTCATAGTTATCTTAGAATGGTTTGGGTTGGAAGGGACCTTAAAGATGATGTAGTTTAAGCCCCCTGCCATAGGCAGGGACACCTTCCACTAGACCAGGTTGCTCAGAGCCCCAGCCAACACTTCCAGGGACAGGACATCCACAACTTCTCTGGGCAACCTGTTCCAGTGCCCCTCCACACAGTAAAGACTTTCTTCTTAATACAGAATCTAAATCTACCCTTCCTTCAGCTTAAGGACATCCCTCCTTGTTCTATCGCTACATAGCCTTGTAAAAACTCCCTGTCCAACTCTCCTGTGGTACCCTGTACAGACTGTCTCAGCCTATCTTCATAAGCAGGTGAAGTTAATTAACATACAAACTCATACAAACAACAGCATACCTTTCCTGTGAATATCTTTTATATACGGAGCCATGGCAGTGGTGACAAAATCCGGAGTGTAACCTAAAACCTGAAATAATTAAGAGCTATAACCATCTCTTAGGGGTAGGTCAACCCAAGCCCTTTCCTTGCTTAACAGGGAAAACAGGGAAGAACAACCACCTCTCAAAATGCTCGGACAATACGAGCATTAAGCCATGTCATACAATGCCATAAAATGACATGACTTTTACTATATGAAACCGAGTAGACGAAAATAAATATATACACACAAGTAAGAAGTATATGAAAGGAATCGTATCACCGTAACCAGACATGTCTTAAGCAGACTCCGGGTGCGAGTTGGGCTGAAGGGAGAGGTCGGGAAATACCGGAGCGCGCCCGCCCCAGCCAAGCCCGGCACGCTGCGGCTGGGCACCGACTCTACTTACGGGAGACCGGGCCCTGGCGGCCGTCAGCAGCGACATGGTGATCTCGGACAGGTAATCGAAGACGAGGAAATCCAGCTTCCCTCCGTACAGCAGCTGCGGCACTGTCGGGCAAGGCAGAGCGGGCCGTCAGCACGGCGGCACCCCCGGCGCGTCCCGCCCGCCCCGGCCCGGCGCTTACGCAACGGGGCTGTTTGTGCCGCCCGCAGCCAGCACCGCCCGCCCCGCGGCCCCGCCAGCCCCCGACCCCGGCCACGGCCCCCGCCGGCTCTTCCCGCAGCCCCCCGGGTAGCCGCTGCCGCCGGCGGCCCCGCCGCCACACCTGCGGCCGCCGTGTCGCCCCAGAAGCCCGAGGCGCAGCCGATGCGCACGGCGGCGCCCGCCGGGGGCTCGCAGCCCGCGCTGCGCCGGCGGCTCCAGCGGGGCGGGCGGACGGCGGCCCCCAGAAGCCGCGGCGCCCGCGGCCCCAGCAGCGCGGCGCAGCTCATGGTGGCGGCGGGCAGCAGCGCGGGCACCACCCCGACCGCCGCCCCGGCCGCGGCCGACCAACAGAGCGCCGGGGAGGGGCCGGGGAGGGGCCGGAGGCCTGCGGAAGCGGCTGGGGAAAGGGGCGGGAGAAAGTCTATAAATCGTGGGCGTGCCGGGCAAAGTGATTGGAGCTGTGGGAGTGCGGCTGGGCTTGGGTAGCCTGGGTGAAAGGTGGCCGGCAGTGGCGGGGCGAGCCTAGGGCGTGCACAGTCGGGCCTTCGGCTTTGGTTTGGGTTGTATCCTGGCCTAGGCCAGACATGGATCAATGGCAGGAGGGTGCCGGGCTGTCGCATCCCCGAGGTGCTGCCCCGAGGGCACCCGTGTCACTACCGAAGCAACAGGCGGTGTGTAGGGGGATAACCTTAAAAGTGGAAACGCCTTTCAGGTTGTGATAGCTTCCAGAGCATGTCAGTCTGATTATGAAATCTTCATGTAACCCTCTCCTGAATACGAAATATGTTTATTAAAAAGTGAGGCTGTCTGTGGGAGTGCATGTCTCAGTTCTGACAGGAAAGGTTTCTCAGGTTCTGCGTTGAATTTCTAGTCTGTGGGCATGAGATAAGTGTCACCAACCTAGGAACTTGTGCCGTATATGAGGAGGAATCAGAAGTCGGAACTGGAGGGCTGTGTCCGAACGTCTCCACTGGAGGCTAATCACGTATCGGTACTTCAGAGCTACTCCCTGTCTGACATGAACTGAAGTCATGTGAAGGACTATTGACTGATTCAGTCTTACGTACTAATTCGATGCAATAATAGCCAGGCCTCCCTTAACACATACACTTATATTTCATGAATTATCTCTTGCAAATGATACAATAATAAAACCTGATGTCTTTGCAGGAGTGCTGAAAAATACAACGTTTGGTGCAACATTGACAATACTATGTATGTGATGACGAGAGGGGGTTTAGTGATGTAAGAAGTAACCATGTTGAAAACAAATAAACAAGTACTTTTGAAAATTGTTGATGAAACTTCGGTTAGGCTAAATTCAAATTGCAATTATAAATAATGCAGTTGAGAGAAGATAGAAAATAGTCATGCTGGGATCTTAGAATTTAGTTCTCTATTTAGTGAGGTACAATGTTTTCCTATTGCAAAAAAAGGCTTTAAGGACCGTCTTCCAGCGTTCTTAGTGCCGCTAAGAATGCTAGAAGTGATGAACAATTTCTGTCCTAAGTTATTAAAGAGGCAGAACCAAAGATGTCACAGAGAAAGAAAATTTGGTTCCCTACACATAGCAAGGACCTAACTTTTGATTATTAAATTATTAAATACTTAATTATTATGTTGAAATTTTGCAAGGTTTGAGTCCTTATAAACTAGTAAACATCCAAATAATCATGGGGGGCGGGGGGGGAACATGTTATGTATGCATAGTTTACTCCAGCTTTGTCCCAAATATATGTAATAAATAGATATAATGAATATATGTGTTATTACTTTAGCTTTATCCTAAATATATATTTATTGTAGCTCCTTAAAGTAAACTTTGAAGCAAGAACCTGAAGAGAGAACTGTCTGGTATAAAATATTCAGCTATCAGTATAGACATAAAGATAGATACTTTCTGTAGTTAAATTTTTAAAGTGTCTTTCCTGTGTGTTTCTATACAGAATACTTTGCAGTAAGATTCCAACATATTGCAGTATAGCAAGAAACATGGCTAATCCTCAGCAAATCATGCAATGGTCTCAAATCCTGTGGTGAAATTCAGATGCAGTTTACCTTGGCTGAGATACCATAACCAACATGCTGCAGTCCTCACATCTGTGCTTTAAATACACATTAAAAAGAAATGCCACTGACAAACAGAATCATTTCTAACCTATGAGTGTAAGTAAAACTTCCACTGAAATGTCTTGGGCCAAGATTTCATGCTGCACAACTGAATTTCTGGACGTTGGAAGGCCTGGCTGCTCACACCAAGTGACCCAGAGGCCGGTAGATGGCTGTGTTTCACCTCTGTCGGCAGCCGCCTCGCCTGCAAAACAACCTCTGGCCGCAGAAGGTGCCGTCGGCTCCTACCAGCATCCTCTGTGCTGCACCAGGCAGAGAGGCAAATGTGTGCGTTTCACCCCATTTGGACTAACAGAGCGTTTTATCTATATTAAGATATAAATATTCGCATGCACATGTGTACATTGGTAGAACAGTCTTGTAATATAGAGGAGTGCTTTATTCTTTTCATTTCTTTCAAGTATTGTCATAGCGTGGATTTTGAAAGCGACTGCTCATGGTTCTGTGAAGGACTGGATCTTGCTTTGTCAGAAATCATTTCAATGCCCTTATGGAACCTTAAATACAGTTTTAGCAAATTTGCATATGGATGTTGATGTGTGTGAGAAAGAATTAATATCCAATGTGTATAAAATACTAAGACACACCTATTAGTTGATCTGCCAAAAACATGAGGAAAGGATTTAGGATTGTTTCTATTATTTGCAATGGTGCACTGATGAAGGGATCAAAGCCTGTATTCTGTTGGTTCCCCCAGCAGTTTTGTTTCTTGCACAATTTAGACTTGTCCAAAAGTAAGTAAGTAGGCTATTTTATAAGCTTGTTGAGATTCCAATAAATAATCTATTTTTCGCAATAGTAGTTTATTCACTACCTCTATTCTCTCAGCTTGATTATTCAAATTATTTTTTTAAAGACTGAGTTTTCATTATCATCATCATTCCATCATGAGCAGTAATGATTAGCTCAGAGCCTATAATTTCGTACATGAGGTTAGGATTGTTTTGATGAAAACAGAGGCAAATTATTTAGAGGTTATTTTCCAGGTAGGCTTGGGAGGCGATGTTCTGTCATGGTCAAGTCTTAATTTTAGGATTTTGGGCTTCATATGATTTTACAGATTTTAGGAATAGTTTATTGCTCTTTGAGGACATCAGATGGCGCTGTGTGGTTGTCAGTGAAGCCCAAAAGAAACTACAATCAGTAACAAACCCATGTGAAATTCATACGCAGAGTTGCTAGTGAAAAATGTGACTGTATTTGTCACGTTTGGTCTATATGGGGGATATGGGTCCACAATAATAGCGGCCATAACTCAGTCACGTGATAGGAATCCATTGCTTAATGTACAGCTTTTAAGAGTAAGCCAGTTTCTGAATTCCTCTCATCAGCTGTGAGAAGAAAGGGGGGGGGGGGGGGGGGAGAGGGGGGAAATCTGGATTTAATTTTTATGCTGGAGAAAGAAAAAGGCTACAAAGTAAAAAAAAAAATAAATAAAGAGGATAATTTTTTCCTGTTGATGGTTCAAATGATCAGTCTGAGATTCTATTTCCTTCAGTGACCCTAAATACTTATATTTACTTTTAATAGGCTAGTGCCATTAATGTTTCATACATAGGCCTGTGCTTCTCTCCCTGTAAACAGATTTGTGCACCATCATGGAGCACAGATGTAGTGCAAAATAAATGTGAAATTCATTTTTCTACTTCAATCATCCAGAATTAGTATCACTCAGGCCTAATTTTGGAAGTCACAGAAGACAACACAGAGTACATTTTTCCAAAGCAACTATACTTTCCATTATATTTCTAGGATTTTTCTGACAGTCAGGCTTCCTCTGATTGCTTAAAAAAGTACAAGCAAAGTATTTCACAGGCTGGAGGTTTATTGTGAAATATATTACATTTTTGCTATGTTTCTTTTAATGTCATTGTAAATAAGTTCCTGTTCAAACAATAGTTTCAGCATATATTTTAGTTTATTGAAGTAGGCTTTAGTTTATTGAGGCTCTGTCCTCTCAACTAATTACAAAATATTCAGCAAATATTTGAATTTACTACTTATCTCATTCCCTCAAATTGGTGCATTTCTTTGTTTAACAAATGGAGTTCACTGTTCTTGCCCTCAAGGTAAAGTATACACTGCAATCTCTCCTCTGCAGACAGTCTGAATACCAGCCTTTCCTAAGTGAATCAACAGTTGAAAATGATCTCTGTAAATCAGTAAAGAGAGAGAATTTGCCATGTTGCATGTAATACCCCTATTTAAGGCACAAACAACTCAAAGCTCAATAATGATATTTCACTGAACCCAAAACATGGTTTAGGGTTTTGTAGTAATTTAGTAGATTTTTATCACTTTGAAGTATAACATCCTGTGCTCTGGGACTCAGAAAAACCTGTCAACAACCTGCCTTGTTGACAAAACAACAAAATGAGTTATCTTCTGAACTATATTGACCGCATTCCTTTATATCACATTCCTGGGTTTTTTAGATATATGTCCTCTCCTAATACTTTATGTTTTGAATGAAGTTTAAATAAAATCTTAAATGTATGAAATTAAGTAAATCCTAAGGAGAAACACTATAAAATTTTTCAAAAATAAGATAATAGCTCTTTCAAAGCATCAAACATCTGGCTTACAGATATGAAGTATTTTCAGGAGTACTATGAAGTGCCTTGATTTTTGGCCTTTTAAATTGTTAAATATTTTTTAAAATTTGTCTGCAATAATATTTGAAGACAAAATAAGAACTATGTGTTAAAGCAATAATCCTTGATTATTCTGTGTGGAAATCAAAAGATCTTTTAGGTTGTTATATTATCTACAAAACGTGCTGACTTTTAGCAGTCACAAATCAATGTAATCTCCATGTTTTGATTTCAGAAAATGCATTATCCCATAATTATTAAAGAATGCACTCTAAAATGAGTGAAAGTACCTCTTCTGTATTCACAGTGTGCATGCAGCAAAATACCCCATAAATTCTTTCAAAATGGAAAGCTCTGACTGACATGAAATACATACATTTCTTACTTTTCCTCTCTCACTTCTCAAAGAAATAACTATTTCCAACCAGTATTTGAGCTGTAGCACAGTGAGTACCTGTACTGGTGTCACAGGTGAAAAGAAATTAGTCTCTTCCATGAAGAGCCATTGATTTTTGTTGACTCAGTTCAGGAAGGGTGGGGAAGAAGTGTGTTGCACAGAGTGGACTATCCAATTGGCAAAAATGTTGTGATTTACCTTTTGCCCAAGTTTTGAGTATTGAAAGAGAAAGATCAGCTACAAAACCTTTTTGTTTTTCATTTTCACTTTCGTACTGTTGGCTTTTTAGCACACCATCAGCATAACTTCAATACTAGACAACTTGTTAGCTGTTTCTATTTCTCATCCTAATTGTCACTCACTCATTGATTGACCTAGCAAAGGGGATTTTCCCCACTAATCTGTTTAAGTTAGTAGTAGTACAAGCAGGGTGATGCATATTGATGATGGATTGCAAAGCAGAGTAGGGGTTTTTTTTCAATATTTATTATTTGGTATT